GTAATCGTGAGTTGAACATATGTTAATATGTAAGCTTAGGAATATGGTGTGACAGACACAGCCCAGCTAGTTGAACTAGACTTCTCAGATGACCTTGCATTTCTGCCCCATACACGGTAAAATATCTAAGTGAAGACGATTAGTGTAGCAGCAGGTCTCAATATACACAAAGGAAACAGCAAGATTCTCCGACACATCACAATATGCACTAACTAAATCATACTTGAAGGAGAAGCATTGAAAGTGTCGCAGAAACGTTTATGTAACTGGGCAGCATCATTGATGAGAAAGGTGGATCTGATGCAGATATCAAGAAACAGATTAGTAAAGCAAGGGCAGTATTTCTACAACTGCAGGACACCTAGAACTGTAAATAATTTTCAATGAACATAAAGTTAGAATTTTCATTGTAAACGCCAAGGCAGTCCTACTGTATGGAATGAAATTTTGAAGAACTACGAAAGCTGTCATCCAGAAGATACAAGTATTTATTAACGGATATCTACTCAAGATACTGAGGATCCATGGGCCAGAAACCACGATCAACAACCTAGTGAGGTATAGAAAAAACGAGATTGCAGCTCAGAAAACAATTAAGAGAAAGTGCAGGAGGTGGATGTGACATGCACCAAAAGGCGAGCCCCAACTTAAAATACTCAATGCAGAAGGTTGAGAAGAAGATCGGGGAACAAACTGTACCAAGAATCGGAGGCAGACATGAAAAGAATGAACAACATTTGAGAACAACTGGAAAGGAGAACTTGGGACAGAGTTGGTTGCAGGATGGCGGCTGGCAGCTTTTGTTCCACGAAGAGTAATAGCCGTAGGTAAGTAAGTTGCCTACTTACTTGCTTATTCACGTTTAGTTCTTTACTGTTTCGAATACAAATCAATTTGTTTTACCATATTTCCCTTTATATATCTAACTTTTATTACAAATATTATGTGTGATATTCGTGTAAAAAGAAACAGTTTTTTTTTTAAATTTCATAATTAGTACCAAATTGAATATTCAAAACTTTCATCATTGATATAAATCGAATCTGATGAAGAGTATAGAAACTTTTACTGATTCATGGATTTTCAACTGAACGGAACGTGTTTTAAACTGTTTCTTAGTCAACCTGACTGAAATTAATTTCGCCTAATTGTCGTTGTTGCGCATTGTAACATGCTACCGAGGAAATGAATTAGTTTTAAAGAGATTTTTGTGATCATAATTAGTGTTTACTTAAGTTAAGTAGACTGTGATCATCACCTTTTTTTTTACATAAATTAATCTTTCAGATCTAATTCAATACGTTAATCTAACGAACAACATTCACTCAAAAATTACTGGTTGCCTGAACTAACAGGATCTGACTACATGCAACATTAGATACTTTTACATAAAAGTCACCAGGTCAATAATTATTGACCGTGTTAAAAAAAGTTGGGTTTCATGTTTGACTAATCAGTTAGTGCACATGTAAGCTCTCAAAAAAATTAGATTCATTTTCTATAGTGTCTGTTCTTGAAAATTTACTATTTAAGATGACTATTCTCTAGTAACTAAGTCACTAACTTACTAGCGATGTGAATAATATGAATGTTTTACTTTTGAATTCATGTTTTTTTGTGTGTGTGTGTGTTGTGTTTCAAAACAATTAATATGTTAAAGACCTCATATTATGATTGTCTATATACGCAAACAACTTTCACTACTCATATCAGCATCCTTTCTACACCACACCCTTAGGCTATTGAATATAAAAAGTAATTTTTTTTCTAACACCATTGTGCATATTATGCATAAAACACTCTGAACATGTTTAGTCTTGTCAGTTATTACGAGTGTATAAACTAACTCAGAAGAGAAGCACTTCATTGATTCTGTCATTTACAGACTTCTTTCTTTCTTGGTCACACTCCTTTAGAATAAAATAAAATGAAAAATAATATATATGTTAAATGATTAAGTGCATATACACTTATTGTTTGTGTTACCGTGGTTGATATTATTCACCAAAACATGTTTCTACGGTTCATTCATGAATTGTTTCAACTAAGAAAACAAACTAATAAGTGTTCATATTACTTGTGAAGTGATATGTTTTTATCACTCTTCTTTTGAAAGAGAAATTAGAAAAAATATATATATTTATATATAGATAGATAAGAAGACAGTGTTCATTTTTAATTTCACATTATAATCGGTTTAACTGTCCATCTTTATTGCTTTTTTTTTTTTGATAAATAAACATTTTATAATTTTTGGTTGGCACAGAATATGCAATTAATTCAATTATCCAAATAAATTAATTTAAATTAATGAAAGAGATGTTAGCATGAAATTTTATTGAAACATTCAATCCTAATCCATTTTATCACCTGTTTTGAATTAAATGAAAAAAAAACCTTGATTTGTCAAATTTTAGAGTTGAAACGGATGAAAAAAGATATCGATAGAGTTTTATTGATTACATAGGTAGGAGTTTAGCATAGTTTCAAGATTAAGTTGTTACGGGATATTTTCAAATCGTCTCTACTTAGTAATCACAAACATATTGTCTACATAAGCAGTGCTTTAGGAAATAGTTACCGTTATTAGACATTTTTAACTGGTCTGCTTCCATTCTTACGCTAGATGATAAGCGTTAACGAATTTAAACATTGCCTTATAACCATTCCTACATACTAAATACATTTTTAATTTGCTCTCAACCACTCGAACATAGCCTAAATAGACAGTGTTATGAGTTGTTGCCGATTACATGTACATCAAACAAATTTCAATCGTCCGTAACACGAAGACAGTTCCAGTGAAATCACAGACCTACCTTAACTAGATCATTATTAAATTACTAGAATAACAAGACAATCATTTTTTCCTACTATTCAACTCCATAGCAGTGAGCATCCAACACTATGAGCGATCGTCTAAAATCTAGACCACTTCATTGCATTCACTGGTGTCAGTACCTAACCTCAATCAGTTCACAACATCTATGGGTAAACACCTCAAATCCGACACACTCCAGCTACAGTGGTCACAAATTCTCATTAGAACTTTGTAAATTACCTCTCAAAGCCAACTACTGGTGGACACATGGTTTAGAGGTTAAGTTTTTGCGCACGAGAGAATAGGTTCTGGTTTCGGTTACTGTGTACAGGGTCCTGGCTGAGCACTGCTGAGTCCCAGTGACTCGAATATTGTAATGATGGTCTAAATTGCATCGGTTCATGATTTCGACGATAAACTATCTTACTCAACTAGAAGAATCCATTACCAATTGGTTATTTGCTGCATAAAAACAGTTTGGAACAGTCATTTACACCAGCAAGAGGTGCGTAGATAAATTCAACTGTCTATTTACTTATTTTGAAAACAGAAAAAAAATTATTCCTTAAATATTGTTTACGAAACAATTATTGCATAAGGATTTACAATTTCGAAGGATTTGTCATTGTCACAGAAATATGGTTGTCTTTTTTCCAAATCCGATTAACATTTACGGGACTGTCAATAAACCTATTCGGTTTTGAGTTTTTTTTAATTTTTCCGTTAAAAAAATTGAAATAAACTATCGTGAACAGCTAAAAACACATTTGTTGAAAGTATTTGTGTGATAAGTGGAAGAATTTCGAATAACTCTATAAAAATTCCCAGTTATTAGCACCCTAAAATGATTCAAGGTTTATCGCTTCACAGTCTTTTCAAACGGAAAATGCAAGATTAGCCAAAAACTGAACTTCAATATAATTTCTAAATGCTCATACACTTTTTTTCAGTACAGTTTAGTAAGATTTTTTATAAAGGTATTAAAATTAATTCTGACAGATTTTTTTAGACTTACTTATAGAAAAGTAAGCAACTAAAACTACAAAATAGGTAGATTCGTTGGTTTCTTTAACCAGGAATAATTTTCAACCTTCACTCAATGCCGAATGATATCAAAGCCTAATATGAACCGTATCATTTTAGATACCGAGATGGCATAAAATAATCCCATACAGACTGATAACATGAACACTATACGTACAGAAAGAAAGAATACCTTTAAAATAGCATGGGACCTTACTTAATTTTGATAAATGCAAGTGATTATCCACTGTTTATCACGGAGAACAGATTAGCATGAGAAGTCAGTACGTAATTTAGTAAGTTAGACATACTGGGACTCTATTCATAATTTACGGACTTTCCAACTACATCGATAAATCAGTGTTTATCCTACAAACATTTGTAAATCATTCGCATAGTCATGTGGTCTGTTAGAATTATTGACAAGAATGCTTCTTCTATCGAATCCCGGATATCTTACCTGAATTTATGTACTAATTAAGAACAAAAGAAAACAAGAACTTTAAAAAAGCAAATGTTTTTAAATAAAAAATAAATATTATTTGTCTTAGTTTTTCTATATTTTGCTGTCTCGCCACTTAGATCGTTTTTTTCCAAATTAACTTTTATTCTTTGTCTTTTTTCTAACTGCTTGTTTTCGCAACAATTGTTAAGCGTTTATCAATGATTTCCTTGTTCATCTATCTTCTAGCATGCTTTTTCCAGTGAACAGGCTGACTGGCAAACTACACTCAGTGGCTAAGTAGGCGCATAGAAAATTCTGGAAACATGATAATGGCCATGTACGAACTTGTATATCATGAAAAGACAACAAAAAGTAAAATGGAACTTAAAAAATATAAACAAATCAGATAAGATACAAAGGTTTGGAGGAGGTACAGTCAAAAGGAAGAGTAAATATCACTATGACTACAAATAATCCCACAAATAAATTATCACTTCAGTCAGTCAGTCGAGAAATGAAATAATGAGAATCAAGTTCTGTACTAGTAAAGTAAAGATAATGCATCACAGAAAAAAAGATATAAACACGTCTCATTTCAAAATTGAGCTGGTTAAACGATTCAATTAAAATTTGTGCAAAACCAAAACAGCTAAACAAAAAGAAAAATACAGCGTATCAAAACTTAACAAAGAAATATGTGTCAGAAGATAAATATATATATATATATATATCTTTAAAGGGCGTTAAAAATGTGCAAATTAAAAGTCTCCCTAACCAATTTACTGTCATGGTTGTCCAAAATTTGTCATACAATATGAATTGTAAAAAAAAAATATGTAAAATGAAGAAAACAGGCAGAACAAGTAGTTTGACAAGAACAGAAAACATTTTGAACAGTCATAGCAAACGTACATACAATTAATGAGTTTGTATTAATGCTACTACTGTAATCGAACGAATCGAAGATAAAGGAAGATTTGTAAACTATTTTCAAATTGTTCATGCCAATACATTCATTCAATAAAGTCTGTATAAGAAAAGAAACTTTGTGTACGTTTGCTGCGCACACATATACAGAACATTCAGTAACTATCAAAGTTATCCAAAATGAGAAAATAACTGTTTTAATTGAAAGCAAAGATTTTGGCGGGAAAACAAAAAAAGAAAGAACATTTTCAAAATAGGCATGATGTGGATTCCAGTAGACAGTCCAGTTGGCAATCCTAATCAATGCGAACAATGTTATGACATAAATATTCTTGTGTCATGGATATAATAGTCTCTATGAAAATACATAACAAAATATTATTTTCTTCTTCTTCTCATTGGAACAGCCTCCAATTTATTTTTTTTTTGTTTTTTTGTGTGTGTTGTGCTCAATTCAAATTTAATAACGTTTAAGAACAAATAAAAATACAAGTTCCAAGATGAATGATAATAGAAAATAAAAGCATTCAAAGTAATTCATTCAAATAATAAAGACATTGAATTAAGTCAATTTAATGTACATGAAGAGAACCGAAAAAAAAAGAAAGAGAAAAAATTGAATAGCTGAATGAATATTCCTGTATTAATAGTTGTATACAAAAAAGCACATAAACTGTTTTTTCATTAATTTCATGAAAGCCTGTTGGTAAATGTAAAATCACAATGAATAATAACAGCTGTTATTTGTCATGGATATATATGTATATATGTGTATATTTGTGTATATATATATATGTATAAGCAGATTCTGTGTTGTTTGCAGCATTTGATGTCAGCTAGATTTAAATTTTTTTTGAAAAAAAAAGAATAAGAAAGTAGCATCAAGTAAAAATGTTTCATTTGAACAATAAATAAATAAATAGAACATTCACTAGTCTACTGACTGCATGATTCTTTGTTGATTTTTATTTTTCAAAAAGCTTTTAAATAATGTGAGTTTACCAAAGATTATTAGTTTAAGACCATAAATAAGGAATTATTTTCAATAGGCTATGCTGTGTCGTTGAACAAACCAGATTCCAGTGGAGGAGGAAATTTAGGAAGAAGCGGTGGAAGTGGATAGGACATACACTACGAAAGGCACCTAACTGTGTCACAAGACAAGCCCTCAAGGCAAAAGGAAAAGAAGAAGGCCAAGGAACACATTACGCCGGGAAATAGAGAAAGATATGAGAGGAGTGAACGAAAATTGGACAGAACTGGAAAGGGAAGCTCAGGACAGAGTTGGTTGGAGAAAACTGGTCGGTGGCCTATGCTCCATTGGGAGTAACAGGCGTAAGTAAGTAAGTAAGTAAGTAAGTAATGCTGTGTCGTTAAGTATTGAAGTAGTTTACCATTCATACAACATGACACAAACAACAACACCAGGATTTTACAAAAGCGATCATCTATGCTTGAAGACGATGGCGAACCAGGAAAGCGTGTTTTTTTTTTAATTGAAACGCTTTTCTAAGCTGATTAAATGCTTCTTTATGAGAGGATATTTTTCTTCATAATTGTAAACAATTGTCGCCCATGTTCCATTGATTGTAGATTTGCATTATTTGACCAAGAATAAATAATATTTATTGATGATCATAACAATATGTAGCCTGATTGAATAGTTGACATCAATGAATGTTAACAATTGAATCAAGTTAATTTATTACGCTAGACTGATTCATTTCGGTTCTGTAGTTATTCTACTTATTTGCTGTTGCAAACAAATTTCACAACTACTATCAATGTAGACTCATAAATATATCAATATAAAAGGTTGTCAATACATCAGTTTTAATGAGAAAAAGCTGGAGTTTGTTTATAAGATACAGTGCAAAACTCATCAGTAAATCTTATGATATAAAATTTTCAGATGAATTTAAACGCTGGCAAAATGAATAAACAACTTACCCAATGACTATTGCCTTAGGTAAGGATGCATTCGGGAAACTGTGGACGATGTGGCTTGTAAGGAACGTAGTTTCAGTGGTCCTGTAAATTATAGTAGGTTAACATTTTTAAATAATACACATTCAACCAATGTGAATAATTAAATTTTTTTAAAGTAGTATTCTGTACTCATCAAGCTATACTTTTATGCCAAAAATCAAGCGATGTTTTTTGTAAACACGAAGGGATATTATGATTAACAATGTTCAGGTGCCAAATAAACGAATATTTCAGAACATTTCAATGGATTTTCATGAAGATGGGACAGATCAATTTTTAATAATATATTATTTGTATAGGCTTGTTAAGCGTCCTATTGCAGGGCAATACAGAGTCCAATAAGATGATTCAACTTAATAGCTTGTTTACAGTAGTGACTTTTATAAACCGAATCCGATAGTTAATGTACCAGTTAAATCGATCGATCAGTTCAGTTTCAGGATTTTAACCTCCATTTATAATAGTTTTACAATAACTTGCTATGTTATGATTTGGTCTTCTTTATTCCCATCAGTTTGATATACACTATGCTGTTTCACAACTGGAAACAACTATCAGTTTTCAATGAACAACATAATTTTCACATTGCTGAGCTTAAATCACAGCCCATTGTATAATAAAATGTCTTAGTAACAATTGAAGGAAAAATAATATCACACGTTTCAAATGATGTTATAACAATTGCTTTTGGACTTTATCATCATTGATGTAACTGTAATGACCACAATACCCTAATGAATGACTACAGGATAGAATGTGAAGTATTTGAGCAATAATTGTGTTTGAAAAGTTAAATTATTCAAGGAAAACTCCCAAATAACCTTTTTTTTAAAAAAAGAACGGCTGATCAGAATAAACATATTGTCATTCAGTTAATTCACGTGGACATGAATTTCCAGGATGAAATAAACTGTTACACAGTGTCTGATTTATTGCCAAGCAGTCATATCCGAAGAATCGTGAATATCCAGTAATGATGATCCAGTTTAATGATCGTTATGACATTTGAACATTTATTCAATAACACTATTGCGATTCGTTGTTTCATAATGGACTGTAACATTTATAATTAGTATAAATACAGTTGTGCAGCTTCAGAAAATCATACTGTTAAAAACGTAGTTTTTGTTGTTCCAATATTATTTACTTAACACTGAATGAATTCTCTCTCTATTCAATAAATGATTCAAATTCATTACTGCTTTAATAATAAGTGTTTTATTTTCACTGGGATGATTCATTTACTCTATGATACATACTCAAAGACATTACTTACATCTGGAAATTCGAACATTAAATTGAAACAAGCAGTAAAAACCTCAAAGTCATTCGAATGCATTGGTAAAAGTTCTGAATAAATTTAAGGACATATATTTTAATAGAAAATAAGTGTAGACTAAAAAACTACCTGAACCAGTGTCTTGTGTATTGGATGCGTTGTTAAATTCCAGTATATTTACAGCTTCTGCTAATGACGTATGTGAAGTGACAGGGTAACTATGAGCACCTGAGTTTATATTAGATACAGGATTATTCATATTACCATTGCATAACTGTAAGTTTGAATTGTTTGCACCAACACTTCCAGTTCCATTCCCACTAAGGAGAGCAGCCGCCACAGCAGCTAACTGGTCATGACCTTTTAATGAACAGAAGTAAATGTGGACAAAGATTTCTAAATTACTTATGTTCATATTGGTTAGAAATATAAATTTTAAATTAATATATTCAGGACAATAAATCGGAAAGGTAATCAACCCTTTTACAGAGATAATTCAATATTTGTTTGCTTGTACATATTAGTGAGGATGAGACGTATTTTGCTTTGGAGAATGTTTCAAACTACTAAATTCAAACTTTTAATAACTGTAAAAGTATAGTAATTGGAAAATTTTGGTGTCAACAGTAACGACTAAGCTACAAGAAAGAAATTATCTATCTTCTTTATATTCTACTTTCGTCAAATGTTAAACATTTTAGGAGAAACAGGTATGGCATAATTCAGTTAAGCTGAATCTAAGTATAGGATTAACGATTTAAAAAGTGAAACACTACAAAAGTTTTGGCAAAAAGTTCTATCTTTTCAACAGAAGCCAAATTAAAATTATCCTATTTAGTTATAAAAAAGTCAAATGGAGAAAAGAAATCTGGATTTCATTGAACTCATGAGTTGATAAATGTTAGACCACCATTAGGAACATGGAGGCACTGGACAGCCTTTTCCTCTTGGTAAGGGACTCATCAGCAGGGATCGTTTACCGTCCGCAAACGGGACTCGAACTCAGGGCCTTCGATCTCGTGGGTGAATAGTTAACTTCCTGATCACTGAGCTGATATCCAACGGCGGAATGGTAGCTTAGCATTGAGTGATTTGTTATTTCAATGACAGTCAACAATCTCCACAACCCTATACTGACAAATATGGATTATTTAAGCAAATTAAATACAACTCTTCATTATTTCTACTAAATGGCACTTATAGGCCAGCTTTGAATCATACAAATATTGAAGTTCTAAAAGCACATAAAGAACTGAGTGTTACATATAATTGTCGAATACATCTCAAAACGCTTGAACGATCAAACTGGACCAGTGAATTTGCGATATTCTCTTTCATATGCTACTTGACGCAGCTTGATGTGACAGTGTGAGAAGCTGCAGGTTCATAATACTATGAAGTTTGTGAATATTCTGTGATACATTGGCTATCACTGAACTTAGCTATATTTACTGATAACTTACTAGCTGCATGTAGATTAGAGCCAATTGGTAAGGATAAACCAGAAAGTCCATTTCCTGTTATACCACCAGCAATTTGGCTTAACGGAAGAGTCAGATTAAGTTGCCCATTATTCGTGGCTGATCCTGTGCTGACGGTTGCAGATAATGCTGCATTTGCAGTCAAAGGATATAAAAGCCCAGATATATTATTGTTCGGTAAATATGTAGATAAATTCGCTGAGCTGAATGATGGGAGAGAATGGGATAATTGATTATTTGAAATGGAATGCATTGAATTAGCTTGAGACAAAGCAGAGTTTACTGCTGCAGGAAGTATACAATTTGTTGTTAATGATGCAGGAAGTACCTGAGATTGAATCTGAGGTAAAATACTATTTGAAGAATATTTATTTGATGGTAATATTTGAGCTGCAGCTGCAGCTGCCGCAGCTGCTGCAGCCGCTTGATGATTTAATACAGTGAGTGATTGATGTTGCAGTATGAGCTGTTGATGTTGTTGAACTTGTTGGATATGTGCTTGTTGACGATCTTTATCTGCAATTAAAAATCAAAAGACAATGCAAGAAAGCTATCACTGCAGGTGAACATGTAGTTTATCCAGTTAATTAAACACATCAAAGAATTTCACGGAAATTATGTTTTTACCCAAAAAAACGTCAGGCAAGAAAAAAAGGCAACACCATGAAAATCAGTGCAAACAGATTACACAGCGCTTTAAAAATGTGCAGCACATTCAATTCCTTGCAATCATAAAATTAATTTTAGTCACTTGTAAAACAAACCACCATAATATACACAATGAACCTGAAAATAATTAATGAACATATAGTTGGATCAAATAAAAATAAAGAAAAGATTCTACCCTACCTTTGCATATTTTTCACTTGTGTTTATCAATCAAATATTTCTGTTTCATTTTCGTGATGCCTAAAAATGACACCTTATAGACATTTTTGGAAACGATAAACTATCTATGATTTCCATAAATAAAAATCTGAAAGCATTAACTACTTTAATGAGTTGGTAAATAAAATCAAAACAAAATAAAATATAAATCCAAAAGTATTGAACGGAGAATTCCTGATAGTGTAGGGAATTACAGAAAGACAGAATGCGTAAAACATACAGTATTTGGTATATTTTTCAATAACATTTCAAAGAATTCACAAAATGCGAATGTTCAATAGAGTAATAATAATTAATGGGACTAGACACAGATTTTAGCAATTCAATTCAATAATTTTACTTGACTTCAATACTAGTCAAGTCTATTAGATGACAGAGAAACTAACTGAAATGAGTTATCAAGATAAAAGATCACTATTATGGATTATGATCTGGCTACATTGTGGTTCGTTTTAATTATTCTGACAATTTAATAAGGCAATAAAGTGAAAAAGAAAACAGATTACGACCTTTAAACATGAAGATGTGCCTCTTCATTTTGCAGTAGCTGCTAATTAAAACTCCAAAACAGATGAAATAAAACAAACACCCCAGCTGTATAGACCGTGTCACATGACAAGTAAAGCAATCATCCCTCCTGACAATAATGCTTATCGACATCCAATTCATTAACTTAGATTACAGTTAAAAGGCTAAATTAATGTAAATATAAATCAGAGATATTGGTTCTTATGAGTTGTATGGACAAACCCAGCATTGAAAATGATGTATACGCCTTCAAGATCTGTTCCATACTGACAGAGTATCCTTGTTCATGTCCTAGAAGTGATCAGTCGAAAAATTTACAAAACATTTAAGAAAACTTATTTAGTTCTACAGTGATATTGTATTACAACAGTTCTAATAGCATATTATTTTTTTCAATTAAATACGCCAAAATGGAATAGAAATTCAGTTAATTAACTTAATTACCACAGAAGTTAAATGTAGACAAAGAAAGTGGTCTGTTTCATTTTGATGATTTCTATTTCAACAAAAGGAGACTTATATTTTGATTATCGTTTCAAATTCATTTTCTTGACTATAAATTCCATTTTACTAGTGATATATCTATCAATTTGCATTAGGTTTGTCATCTTGAACAGATTTTGAAATTTCATTCAATTTACTAGAAAACCTCGTTCAGGTAAATGTACTAACTAGTTTGTTTGGCGTAGTCAAACAAATATTGGACGTTGACATTTTTTTTATCATTTCGAACATGTCTGCATCCATTTATTTTGTTAATCCTTCGAAGATTGAAGAATGAACAACGTTTTACATATAATTATTATAAATATTTTTTTATTATTAAAATCAACTCTCTAAATTATCGATTATCTCAAACTTGTTCATTGCTATATGATCCAAAGTCAATTAGTATTAAGGTTATGGCCTCGTACTTAAGTCTCATGACTAACACACTACAGTTATGCTCAATCATTTTCACTGAAATCATTTTTTTAATAGTTACTTTAAGGTTAAATATCGATTTCAGTAGGTAGTACTGTTTTGTATAGTGAATATTAAAAAAATAATTTCATAACCTACTTAAACTAACTTGAAAAAACCAATTTAATTAAATGTGTTTAATATACATCGTAACTGTAAAAACAACCACACAGGAAACAAAAGTAGTTGCGCAAATTTTTACTATCCTTGTCTAGTGAATTTAAGTATTATGTTGGAATGATTTGGGAGAATGTGATTCAAATATTTATAACTATCATTTATATTCCCAGAAAATATCCTGACTAGGTTTCAGGGTGAAATATTGGAACAATTTGAGTTTCTACCTTTTGGTTTGCAAGATCGATTCCCTATACGAATGATTATAGGAACAACTATGGTAATTAGATATTTTATTATGAAAAATAGGCGAAAAGTTTTATCATGAAAGTCATTTATTCGACTATGATAATAGAGACAAGCTGTCATACATTTTAAATTAGTTGAAAGGATAGTTCATTAATTATCGACATCATACTTGAGGCGGATTAGAGGGCGAAAAGATTGTTTAATAAATTTCAAGCTGACTCCATGAACTTAGTAGCAAACTGACAAAAATCGTCACAGATTACATAACTAAACACTGATCAATAGTTCACTGGTAGCTTAGTTAAAGATACATTTCATAAATTTTGCGGAAGAAGTTTGATATAGAATGAGTTAGCCAACGTAAGCGATAGATTTCTTACTATTTTTGTAATTTACTAATCTTTTTCATGTGGAACATGTTTTATGAACTTATGAAAATCAGATATGATCAACTAACTAAAAGATAATTACTTTCAAGTGGTGATTTGAATCAACATCCTATTGAGTATATAACTACAATAACAATAATAATAGATAAGCGCTAGTTTAATGAGTTCAATTTGTCAAAATTTATGTAATTATGATTCAAAATTATTGAGACACTTAAACTATTAAAATTAAGAGTTTTAAAGTGTTTATTATAAACAAGTGATATTCGGTCATTTATTTTTTCAATCGGAAATATGGAGCTTAAGTAAATCACTTTCCTTACAATTTCATGTTATTAATAAAAATCAGGCTATTTCGTTTGATCTAAACATCATCATAGCTTGATACTCCAACTAATCTTAATTGGACTCCCATTGAAAACCTAGAATCGCTAAATGGCCATCCTGTAATCGTATGGAATTTCTCAGCACTGCTCATCCATGGACCTACATCCGGAAATCAGATTCAGCATCTCCTATATTGCAAGCAAACGCCCAACCTCTAGATCACTAAGCTAACATACAATGGTATTTGTGTTTGAATCCAATCAATATTGAGTTGGATCCCCGGATGTGGAGTCGTCCATGAGCACGGCTATTCAATAATTCTAGATTTTCTCTCCTTATCTAAGAAAGAATGTCTGTGGTTTAAAATGCGAAAATGAATATTTATCAAACATTGTTGGTAGGATTTTGCAGATCGGTGAAAAACAACGAAATGAAAAAAATGAAAACTGCTTCATACTACTTAAGAAGAAATTGATAATCCATGGATGTAATTTTCCCACTTCCACTTTTATTTACTAGCACTCATATTTAGAATACCAATCAGACAGTCATAATGTTGATCTGAGAAAATCAGGGATTTAATCGGTTGATAATAAGTCGTTAGAAGATTATCAAATCATGGTTACATATATTGTCTGTAAAAAGCTATTTTAAGCTTTGAATAAATTCTCAATCCTATATATACCGACGTCACAATGTCACAGAACACACAACGAGAAATCTATTTTTTAGTCATGAAAATAAAAACAATCTTATCTGATAAGAGGTCTAATAGAAATATGAAAAAATGTTTAACTAAAACATGAATCGATGTGAACTGTTCGTTGGCATATTTTACCTCATTTTGTCTTGATATCATCACTAAAATGATCTACGCAACCCGATCTACTTATCATTATGTGATAGAAAATTATGATGTGATTCTGACTTTTTTGAAATTGGATTTGATCAATAACGAGTAGTAAGGCATTAAGTCTACAACATTCAAACATTTTAAATCATGCAAATAAATTTAAAAAAAAACAAAACAAAAAACCAGTTACCGAAATAATGGCAACAGTATGATCAGACAAATGAAAAACTTAAGGTGTGTAAAACATTAGTATAATAAAGCATGCGTCGTTAACCAACACCGGCTACTACATAAATCTCTCCAATCCCTCATAGAAAAAAAATAACAACAACATAACCAACAAACGATGACAGAGATATTTTCTAACTCATGCAGTTTATCACTCACGGTTCGACGTGAAGTCTGAATTACCGATTGGACTGTGAGAACACCTTATCACATGTCCATTTACATATTGTTGGTGTGAATCCTCATCTCTGTCACTTGACGGGAAGCAAATGCAACGTTGATTCACAGCGCGATACGTACCATTAATAATTGCTAATTCCATAAGCTGACGTTTCTTCACCTGGTCTTCACCATCAGGCTTATATAATTTTTTTGGAATAAAGAAAAAGCCAGAAATATTAGTTGTGGAGATTTTTTTTTTTGAAAATTATCTCTGACAACTAGAAAGAAATTACCGAGTGAAAATGCAACAGATTCGAATAAGAAAATACATACATATATATATATATCATTATATTTCTTGCTTCCTATAATCATACTCATCCGATCGATTTGACAAGGTGCGAAGAAAACTATCGGAATTCCAAAAGCTATACACTTTTGAAAAACTGATAAGAAGTATCGTTCGTTATTTTCACCTGAAATTATCTGCATAGAACTGTCCATCAAACTGTTTCATCAAATTGTAAAAAAGATCAATCTCAAAGAGAAAAAAAAAGATACAATGTAAATAAATGAAAGTGCAAACTGCCAACCACAATATAAAATTCACATGAAGAAGATAGTGAATGCTGGCTAACTTTTTTAATTTGCCAACATTGCGATGATTGGAAAAGCGCCCATTGGCTACCATTACAATATCAGTATGCCTAGATTACACAAACAAACACAGAATATCCCAATGTATAACTGTCATCTGTAACTTATAAATAGACAGATTGCTGTTTGATTTCCAACTAACCTGTTTCAAGGATAAGCAAAACTTACTTTACTTGATAGAGCAGTTTAAACAAGAAAAAACCATTTTTGTTTCATCTGATCAGTAATCAAAGTAATATGCTTTAAAGTCTAAAAAGCTTTGAGTCCTCTGTTTTACAGAGCCAAGAAAGAAACACATGTGAAACAACTGATTATGGTTACACTTGTTGGGCATAAAGAGAATAATTATTTCTAGTCTCTGCAATGTTCGTTTTTCTGCCCATGCTGTATAAATAGTAAATGAATAGAATATCTTTAACTGATACAAACTACAATAACATCTAGAAGTGATGTAAACACAGTGATATTTCTATCACTTATGAACAGAACAATGTCAATAAAACAGTCGATGACATAGTTGTGACACGAGTAGAGCTTTCAAAACAAAAAAAACTAGTTACTCATAGTATATATTACGGACTTTTTATTCAAACGTTCTAAATCAGATAGCACTAGAAGTTAGAGCTTAATCAAATTTCAAAAGAAAATATACTACAAAAATAAATCCAGAAAAGCGATAAGATACGACTGTAGATTATTCTGATAACAAAATACCCTAATCTCAGAGATAAAACAAACCAGCGTAGAACCAGTTTGTCTGACTGGATGATTGGGTCAACTCTCAGTAGTCTGAGATTTGCGGTGTATTGCATTGATGAAACCACATCACATTTATCAGTATTTAACAATCTTTCTCAATGAGCGAGATTGGTCAGTGATGTTGATTATCCAAATTTTAGTTTATCTGTCATTTACTCACACACACACACACAACTCGATCTGACATACGAAAACCTAATAAATATTGTACAGACGTAGACCTATAAGGTGTGTTTTTTTAAATTCATTACACCGAATAGCACATGAAAACGTTGTCAGTAGTTTGTTATCGCAATCTTTCCTGGAAGAGTTTTATCTTTCCGAATTGGAGTCGTGGCAACGACTAAATATTATTGGGCAGCTTATTTTCAAATCTAAATTTTATTTTAGAATATGCCGTAATTTAACAGTCACTGTAATGGTAGGTTGAAACAAACCTTTTTGTGAAGATATTAATTTTTTATATAGACTACTGGTAATTTAGTTTAGCTGGAATTCTTTCGTTCATAGCTTTCCTTAGTCTGAACGTTTTTATTTGTGTTCGATTCATGCTATAGTGCATTCCACTCAATTGGAACCTGGCTTTCACACCAAGTCCTTAGTTTAGGAGTTATTCATTTGCCCATTTTGCTCAAACACCAATTCAAAACATCTAAAATCTGATTTAAGAGCTTAATTTGATTGGTAACGACAACAGAAAAACAAATTTTATTAGATTCTGTCTATAAAATGATTTCGTTTATTATTTTAAAGGAGTAGTGAATTCATTTTACATACACGAAAGTGAATGAACAGTTAATTCATTCACTAGAAACTTCGGTATGAGTCATAATCTAAGTGTGAAGGTTAGTTATACCATCCGGTCGTTCAAAACTATGGATACATGGTACAAGGTTTGTACCGGAGACTCGAAGGCTGAAAGTTAAATACCTTAACTGCTAACTCACTGCCCACAGAATCCTAAAATGTTATTACAGTTTCGTAACAAACACCGAGTATAACCACTAAAGTCTGTATTCATTTTGACCAATGTGAATACATTCAAAGGAATATATATTAAACATTTAGCTTTGATTAACTTAGTTTATCTTCAAAAAAAAAAATAATAATCTTAGCTACACTCTACCACCCATCATTAATTCTACTACAATAAATTCTAATGTTTCATTTAAAAAAAAATATTTCTGAAAAAAAAAAACGTTTTAATGTTTGTAACAAATTTGCTAATCTAAAATTACAATAAACATGTTCACAACACTCAAATTAACTCATGACAATAAATCAATTAGGACAATTAAAGTAGAAGTAGTAGTCAGCGAAATGCCAGACGAAAACTAGCCAGAACACAAAACACAACCAATAATTTGAAAAGCAATAAAATGAACAAAGTTCAATGCCTGACCTCTCTCTCTGTATTATTACTTAGATATTGCATCAATTGAATATGAGCTATAAGTTATTTGTTTGCTTGTCAATAAATAAACTGGCAGATAACAACATTTTCATGTCTCTCTCTCTCCCTCTCTCTCTCTGTATTAGTTCATTTATGTGAAAATGAGTAAAAATAAGCAAGTGAACATTGTTGTCAGTAAGAAAGATAGAGAAAACAAAAAAAAATGAAGTTCAAAGTAGAACAATGAACACTCTTGTCATTCATAAAAATGAATTATAAACTCAGGTTAGGCAAAACAACATTTAAGAAAGAAAAAAATGTTATTGAGTCATTTTTTAAATGTTAAGTGAAATAAAATTAACAACTAGATGACATGAACTATTCAATGAAGGATGACTGACGAAGAATATACTAGTGACTTATCAAAACTATTTCACATTTCATAATTTAGTAACATCTTTGAAATGTTTTAAAAATAGCAATTTTTTTTCATTAACTGTAAATATTATTTATTGGTACTTAAGAAAACTTGCATCCTAAAACTGATTGACACAATTTAATCCGTGTGAATTGATTACTGCAATTATTACTAATCTAAAGATGGATCATTTAATAATCAATAATACCTAGGACTAGGAACTAGAACACTTCATCTTTGTTAAGTTTTTAGGCATCAGGATCATGCTAGAAAGACATAAGCATGAAGCATGGTCATTTCAGTGTTAGCATAAACTAAATATCAATCTTTATACACATAAAAGAGAATTGCTCTACATAATTATGCACGCATTATGAAAAAAATGATACAGCTCCTGGCATAAAAGCGTGTACAAAAATAAGCATGTGTTGGATAAAGCAAATAACATGTTTTCATAGTTATAAACATACCAACATACAAGTATCTGCTTAATTTCCTCATTACAAAATAAACAGAAAACTTGAATAACCTTAGTAAGATCTCCATGCCATCTTGCCTCTTCATTACCATTTTGTCACATTGTCCCCAGCATACAGTCAGTCAGTCAGTCGGTTACAACATAGAACTTTGTACGTAAGTATATCAGTTCAGGTTGCCATACTGCATTAACACAGAGACGCAACTGTCAGTTCAAATCCCATAATAGTAGCAATATAGGAGTATTAGCAGTAATGGAGAAGATTAGGTTTAGAAGATATGATTCGAGAAGCGCAATTCAGTGAGATAACTTTGGGAAGAGAAAGATGTAGGTGATGAGCAATTCAGAAGGTTTTAATTTCATAGAACACAAAGAGTAGATGCACTTGCGCCATTGCAAACAACTTTGAGCCATATCGTTCAAGGTCTCTAACCATCGGTGACTCGTCTCACGGAACCCAACCAGATAGTCTACATCAAACAACATAACTCAGTCCTTTAGTCAGTGACTTCATGGATTTCTGTCATGTTTTGGTTTGGCCGCCCCTAGCTTTCTTGCAACCTACTCTAACACCACAAAATATAGCTCGTCTAGGCAATCGGTGGTTATGCATTCGTAACACATGTTCCAACCACCTCATTGTCTATTTACATCAAATAACATTTTGACATTAAACAATTGGTGGTCTAGTGTTAGCGAACACCAATATTATCCATTAATTCTAACCATTTAGAAAAGTAATAAGCATTATTCAGCTTCCAGTTTTGGCAAATAGGTAGTTTTTTAATAACTGAAATAGTGCTTTCTTTAATAACTATGTTCAATAAAACTCACTCAACTGCTTAATTACTATAATATTACATTTGTTAATAAACATTAAACAGTGAAGTGAGTGATAATATATCTTAGAATATTCTTCAAATAACTATCTACCTTGATTTAAATTTTTTTCTAATTTCTCATCCAACTTGTAAATGAAACAAACTAGTATCCTTAAGCACGAAAATCTACCACTGTCTTCATTATTCAAGTTCTCACGTTCTGATGAATAAATCTTTGTTCTGACTACAGTTCAAAACTGTGAAATATCCTTAAACCTCATTTAAACATAGCTGCCGAAATTTCACTGCTTTTAAGAGTAGATAAATAAACTAATTTATGCAAAAATTAATCTCACTCTCATACACCAGAAAAAATGGATTACATTGTTCACTCTGTAGACTATATGCTTTTGAACAATCGAATAACAAAACCTAAACAAAAGTCTCTAATTATACAGAAAACTTCAAACAACCTAATATTGGATAACTAGCGTTTAAGCTCAATGTACAAGGGTTTGATATATATATATATATTTTGTAAATAAACATTACATGTTTTAACAAATAACCCATTATCCATGAAAAACTATTCAATGTTTTTCTAAGTAACTAATCAGATCAGTTGAAACACTTTTGTTTCAACAGATGTGTTTCGTTAAATTGTTGTTGCACAAATACAATTCAATGTAATTGTGAAAAATTCGAGAAACTTCCACAATGAGATTAAAGCATACCTACAAAAAAGAAACCAGAGGAAATTGTCGTTTGGTAATATTTACAATGTCTTTCAACTAGAACAGGTCATTATTTCGCTGTTTTATGGTGTGCTTTAAAGTAGCACAGTTATTTTACATTGTATGTTCAATGTTATTTATAACTGTTGTATTAAGAATCGTGAAAATCAATAAGCTTAGCACGTGAATAGTAATAATATGGTATTACACTTTTTTTTTACATAAACGGTAGTCTTTTAAGGTTTTACCGAATTCCAATTCACTAATACCAATGATAAATCTAGGTACTTTTCAGTGATATGATTAGGATTTCAACGGAAAAATTCGTACAGCCATTAAAGTTAAACTCTGAAACATTTAGTACAGTAATTTATTCTATCCATACGCAGCTAAACAGAGACTGCAAAAACACTGCAGAATTACAGCAAACAAATTGAAGTTGTTTTTGGTGGCAAATTTCATGGTCTCTGAATTACACATTGTTCATTCAGTTTTCTAGTTGAAATCCTGGTTAAGCTTAACTTTGTCAGTAAGTCACTGTATATTCATCAGTATTAGGCTGTAATCTTACAGACCTAGAACCTTTCTATCATGTAACTAAGTAATATGATGAAATTCTTTTAAATGTACAACTTACTATCAAGACAAGTCAAATATGATTGAGATAATGGCACATTGACTTCTCTAAGCTAAACGATTGGAAGTAGAGTTTAGTAATCAAAGGAAAAGTGAAGAAGATTCAATTTTCCCATCATATCCATCCATAGCTGATAGCATACAAGAAAGTGGAATGCGATTCTTAAGCTTCTAATAGATTCATAGAAACACTAACTGAAAACAACTAAACAAAACTCCATAGCATTTATATAAGAACTTGAAAGATTGAAACAGTAGGTTAGATTTATATTGACCAAGTCATGTATTCTCCCGGAATAATGAAAATAATTGATATATATATATGTGTGAAGTAAATAGAATAAAATATGAAAAAGACTCAATGCAAAAAAAAACAAAAAATCCATTCTAATCGTAATTGATTTACTACTGGTAATGTTAGTGAAC